CTTGCATTCATTCATTCAAAATCATCTCATTTCATACACAACACACCACAAACACTTCCATCTTCTCCCTAGCCGTGAGTTTCTCTCCATTTCCTTCCATTTCTCCTCCATTTCTTCCATTTCCATAATCCCCCAATCCATTCAACACACCAACAACATCCCTTAGTCCTTGTGCCACAATAAAGAGGAAGATAAGAGGGCCTAAACGTTCATACAATTCACGTTTGAGTTGTTGGAATGTTTACGCGTTTCTTTGATTTCAATGTTTAAATTCAATTCTCTTTATTTTGTAATATGAGGAATGGAAGAGAAGAGTGCCTAAACGTTCATACAATTCACATTTGAGTTGTTAGAATGTTTAGGTGTTTCTTTGATTTCAAAGTTATGAGGAACTAAACCCTTTTTGGCTAGGGGTGATTTCAATACCATGATTATTTATGTAATATGAATTGATGACTTCCGGTTATGAACTCTTGATTCGTGAATGCAATTGGCTTAACTATTTGATGATTAACTTATTTGTGTTTGTTGATTGAGGGTCGACACTTAATTAGCATGCATGAATATGTGGCTAAAGTTTAAGAAGGTTTCACATAATCGTTACTAACTTATACTTGAAAGTAGTGAAGGTCGCTTGTCACGATCGCGTTAAGTTTAATTCTTAGCATGAGTAACATGATGTCATAGTTGCAAGTGCTTTGTCAATGCTTATGGTTTTCATTATTCTTAATGATCTTCGATTGTATCTCTATTATGATGACATGTAGGGAACTTTTGAGAATGTTTTGGGTTGTCGAATGATGCCATCCAATCCAATAATATAAGGAAAATCTGAGGGTTAACTAGTGATGTCACGGTTAATTTGGGGCATTGTCGTTCATAATTCAATGAAGGAATAACTGGAAATTGATTCATATGCATAAATATCATATGTGGAGAAAGAACCTCTAGCTAATTCACCAACCATCTAATTTCACAACACTTGTTTACAATCTATCCATATTTACAATTTGTTTTGTTTCCAAGTATCCATTTTAGTTTAAATTCGTCCAAATCCAATTCCCCCCTATTTCGTTGAAGTCTTAGTCTTAATCTTTCTTATTTTTAGTTTTGCTTTCTTCGAGCATTAAATAGTGTTTTATATTGAGTTTTTATGTTTTTAAGTCAATTTAGAAGGTTTTAGCAAGCCCTCCTAATCCCCGGTCTAGAACGATCCCTCACTTATCCATTCTACTACAATTGTCAAACGAGGGTTTAATTTGAGTGTCAAGTAATTTTCGCATCAAGTACCCAGAATGTTTCTCCGAAGGAAATCAAACCAATTCCTATAGAAAAACTTAAGCCGAGACTTAGATGCTTAACCTTTTGATAAAGGAATGGATATATCTAGATAGGCTTCACGATGATAAGTTTTCATGTCGTAATGACAAGTGATGAGGTTAAAATTATACATATCAACAGCGGATAAGGGTTCAAGACCTAGGACCTCACATATAACCAAGGAATCAAATGGAACGTACACTCCATGCATATAAACTTGGCCACCAAACTTAGGAAACTTGGAAGGGATATTAGCATAAAACTCTTGACCATTGACAAGTTGAAGACAAAATGAGGTGAGTGTACCTTGTGTAAGTTATATTAGTTCATGAGGTTGTCAGAGAGAATGGCATCGAGAACAGTTAGATCATCCCAAATGATCATACGCTTAGGAACAACTTTCCAAGCTGCTATAATTTGGAGAAATTTTTCGCGCGAGTGGTGGGAAAGTAGGAGGATATTCATTGGAGGTTTCGTCCACAACATCTTTTGCAATTTGAGAGCGAGTTTTCCGGCAAGGGAGAGGAGATTGAGAACTGGAGTGGTAGAGTAACTCTCAATTTGAAGATATGATCGACAAACATTTCTAGTGACAGTTGATCAGAGTTTGAGAGATGAGAAGGTACAAGGATGAAGAAAAACAGCACAAATTAGGGTGAATATAAAAACCCAGTGAGGTTAGAAGAACTTATAGCCTAGGATAATGTGAAGTTAATCTGGGCCGTAGAGATGACACAAACAGTTGAGATGGGAAGGTTAAAACACTAAGTACAAAGATAGAAATGCCCTAAATGAACACCTCTTTTCTGATAAGTACCAGCGACAGGATAGAAAAAGCAAACACCTATTTTGAAAACAATTTAGTGCCAAAAGCAATGGCCAGAGAGAATACCACACTCAAGACCAATAGATAACACAAGAGATGAGCACATTCTTGGCACCATTAAGCTATAGCTAATCATACGTTTCTCACAGAGAACACAAATAAACACAGCTCCAATATCTTTGCTTCCAAAAAAAAAAAAAAAAAAAAAAACAGAGTTAAACTCAATTAAGTACTTGAAAGGAAATATGTTATGCAGTATTATAGATATAGGTCTTCAAAGTTATACATGGACAGAAAAACATAGATTAATACAAGTTTATATTGCATCCATGATGTGTCAAGGTATAGAAATAGGATTGGAGATAGCCATCTTTAAATCAAAACTTCATTCCACTAAGCTCAAGATTAATATAAAAGCTAACTGAGCTTTTAATAATCCATTAAGTTCAAGAAACAACACTTGGAACATAAATATAGCAAATGAGCATTATCTAGTTTTAAAACACAAGTCTCATCAAACATAGAGTTATACATGGAAGACTAGTATAGACTTCTTTTACAGATGCAACAAAAGTAGCAACTCTATCTTCATCTTTTGATGACTTGTCAGAACAGACAAAATCATGATCTTCATTGTCACTCCATGTAGCCATCATGGCTTTGTCATGCTTCTAACTGGACATTCTGTTGTCTGCACACTCAGCAACACAATGTCTTATTCCACCACATTTGAAACATGGTCCAGGTACACTTGAAGATACTTGTCTCTTCTACTAACAAACCTTCCTAATTTCTGTCTAAAAGTCAACTTTTCATGATCTTGACCCAAGTGATTATTTGATGACTCCCCAAACTTTTTAACTTCTTTTCCTTTGTTCTTGAAAATCCTTCAAAATTGTTTAACAAATAAGGCAAGATCATCAGCAGGAGATTGATCACATGATTTATTTATAGCTTGAGATTTGTCAACACTTTGAAGAGCAACCTCTTTTTTCTTATTAGAATCAACTTGATCCATGTCTAGCTTCATCTCATAGGTGATGAGTTTGCCAACCAAGTTTCCAAGTTTAATCTCATTCAGGTCTTGAAATTCTTGTATAGCAGCTTTCTTTGCTTGAAATATCTTAGGTAAGGTCCTCAAGATCTTTTGGACAATTGTCTCATCAATAGGTTTTCCCAACCCCAATGCCTCATTAATCAACTTTTCAACTTTCTCATAGAAGACCGAGAAGGTCTCAAACTCCAACATTCTTAAATCTTCAAACTTTGAAAGAATCATTTGGAGTTTAAGATCCTTCACTTGTTTGTCACCTTCATGTAGAATTCTCAATTTGTCCTATGCTTTTTTTTTGCAGTGGAGCAATAACAAATATGTGCAAATTGAGTTGGCAAGATAGCAAAGACAATGGCATTCCATGCTTTTCTGTTAGCCATAACTAAAGTAATCTCCCCTTAAGTCCACTAACCTTTGGCCTTTACCACAAATTCTCCATCGACAGTCCATCAATGAGCCTTCCATTCAAATCTACAACAATTACATCATGTGCTTCCAGAAAGATATGAAACTTGTCGCTCCATGCAGCATAGTTTGTTCCATCAAAGAACGGAGAAGAGTTTCAAGATCCAGCAACACTATGACGTTCCATTGCTAGATTCCACCCAATGCCAGTAGCTCCCAAAGATCACTCTACGTATATCTAGAGCAAGGCTCTAATACCAATTGAAATTGGTACGCAGAATATCCTACAATTAAAAATCTATATATGTGTTTGTCTGACTAAATCAACACCAATCAACTAAGATTAGATATGTTAGTTTACCAACAATGGAAGTAGTCAATTTAAAACTTGGTTTATTGAAGTGTTCCTAGCTAACTAAGATCCAGTTCAGTGCACATTTTAACTCTGACAAGCTTAGTTGCAAATAATGATGGATGTATATCACAAACAAAGAGAAAGATAAGTAAACTAGAATAGCAATAAATTGCACCCGGAGTTTTTGGCCAAAAAACCCACCTCTGGGTTAAAAAATCGGACACTCTCCATTGAGTCCAATCCACTAGTGTAAACAAGATTCTTACAAAGTACCATGCGAAGCTCAATTTCTAGACCCGTGATGCGTTGAAGTTTACAAAAGTCAAGAATTTTCAAGATGTATTTATTTAAGGTAACTCCAATCTCATTATTGACTCCATTTTGACCAAGCGCAAAACATCTTGGCAATTGAAGACTATTATTGAGGACATCAAATTATTGGCACGATACCTTCTTCTCTACCTTGGGCTCATGTCTTTTGGGCGCTGAATTTTCTAATTGATGTCAATACTAGAGTTGGACACTTATATATGGGATAGGTCCTTACCCACTATTCTTAGAAATGCTTTTCTTTTTTATTGTACCGGAAATTGTTGTACTCGAGGTTTCTCTTTGAATAAATTTTCTTTCTATTAAAAACAAATGTGTTATTAATATTTTTATTAAAAAGTGAGTAAACAAATAGGGCAATGAGTTAGGTTTAGCAGCTCTCTTTATTTAAATTGTTTTGTTACGATTTAGTGGTATTCCTCTTCACTTGTAAGTGAGAAGTCTTAGATTCGATTCTCGCCAAAGGTGAATTTGAACCGTATTATTGTTAGCCCATTGTGAAGCCACTCAATACAATAGTCTGATGGTATTCATCTTCACTTGTAAGTGAGAGGTCTTAATTCGAATCTGGTGAGTGACGAATTTAATATCAAATTAAATTATTTATTATGTGACTTAATCGAATTTTTTTATTTTAGTGTAAAATATATGGTTGTGCTAAAAATACACCTGGGAAGAATGGGTATTATCGGTCTTTGATTATGAAAAAAAATAAATGCACCGCCTTGACCACCGAATCCTCAGTCTCCTCTTCCGACCGTCCGAAAGAACAAAAAAGTTCCGCTCCGATCCTTTCACACCCACAGCAAAAGCCACAGACCCAACCAGCCGCGCGAACTGCGCACCATGCGCCTCTGTTAGCACATCTCAGACTGTGGGGCTGCTATCGTGCGCACATAGAATCGAAGTTAGAAGTCAGGACTGAGAGAGGAAGAGAAGGCAGTGAGCATGGGAGATCTCTACGTTTGGCTCATCTCCTTCTTCTTCCTCATTGCCCTGCTCGCCCTTGTTGTTTTCCAGGTCAAATCCTCCCTAGAAAACTCCCTTTCAATTTCAATCGATTTATCTATTTAATCTCGATTTTTTCACACTTTTATGAGCTCATTTTTTTAATTTCAATTTTATAATTTAAATTTACTCCTGAAAAGAAGAAATTTTATACCTTGATCATCAAAATGTTACTTTTAGTTTAAAGGGTCTCTGTATGTATATGAAAATGTGCGCTTTTGACAGTCTCTTTATATTTTGGCTATAAAAGAATGAAGAAATTAGGTGATTATGCTAGATGTGATTGAAATACATTTTCCCTTTTGGGTAAATTGTGTGTGTCGTGTAGCACGTTAGTTTCTCTGCTTATTTCGAGCTTAATCGTGCATTGCAATGGCTTATTTTGAGTTTAATCGTGCATTGCTAAGGCTTATTTCAAGCTTAATCGTCATTGCTATGGCTTACTTCGAGTTTAATCGTGCATTGCTATGGCTTATTTCGTAGCATTCTTCACTAGTCAACAGTAAAATGCTTTTTCTTTCCTTAGGTAGGATGCTTAGAGTGCCTTTTCATTTTAGTTCGTTTACGTTTTTATTCTTTTGTAATGGTGTTCAGTTGCCTGCCCCTTAGTTTCTTTTTGTTTCTTATGGCGTTGGGATGAAGTTTTCCCAGATTCATGGGACCAGAGATTGGAATTGTTTAACCAAAATGTACGAACAACAGAAACATTTATCGAACTGAAACTGTCACCAAAGTTTTTTCTTTTGGAAAAGGATAAAAAATGACATCTTTGGTTGAATTCCATATTCATTATGGAAGACATGGAACCAAAAGTTTGTGGTTTTTATCCTTTAGCCGTGGTAGTTACTAGTTAAGGTTTTCTTGTGCTGCCTGTTTTTGTCCTTCCATTTTACAGTTTTACTGGACTTGGATTGGTAACCCCATTATGTTAACTTTTACAGTAGCTTGTTGTGGTGCTTAATCGCTAATTAATGTTGGATTGGTGATGGTAATGCTATGGCTCAGAGATCAACTGTTTTGAAATTGAATTGGCTGGTGTTAAGATTATGCTGGGACAAAGATGTAACTACATTTTTTTGTGGTTGAAAGTGTGTTGGAAAGTATACTTAATATATGGTTGATTTTTATATATGCTATAGCATCCTTGTGGCATAATGCTATTGCTACTCTTGTCTTGTTTAGCGATATAAAACATGAAATTAACACTTACAAAATTGTTGCAGCTGATGTGCCTGGCAGATCTTGAGTTTGATTATATCAACCCTTATGACTCTTCAAATCGGATAAACAGAGTGATTTTGCCAGAGTATATTACAGAAGGAGTTTTGTGTGCTTTCTTTCTTATAACAGGGCATTGGTGCATGTCACTGTTTTGTGGTCCATACCTCTATTATAATGTGAAACTGTAAGTTCTCTTGCATTCCATATATTCTAATGCTATGCATTGTGATTATTGTAAAGTTGGAACCTAAGCAACGATAAGGAAAGGTGGAAGCTAGGATTATCAAAATCAAGAAATATGCAAAAGTAATAGTCGATAGAAAATCAAACAAAAAGGGAAATAATCCTTGAGATGAATGACAAGATAAACACTCAGAAGCTAGAGTTGAATCGCCCGGGGTGGAGGGCTAGGGAGGCAGCTATATCACAAGTTTTTCGGTTAGAAAGTTAAAGTCATGTACTTTTGCTCTAAAATTGTAGACATCTAAGCACGCCCTTATATATAAATATGTGACAGTGGGGTGGGGGTGGAAAAATTTCGTACAAATGATGCATAATATTCTATTAAGATAAATATTAGAACGCTTCTCCAAGGCTTCAAACTCTATTGTTGATATTTGGATGCATTTGGACCTTTTCACTTCTTCAATTGAGACATGTCATCTCTTTACACACAAAAATATGACCTTTAATGCTTTTGAATAGGAATTAATGATGAAAAATAGAAAATATTAAAAGTCTTGTAAAAAAAAATTGCACATGTTATGTGAAGAAGTGAAAAGTGTTAGCTATCCCACATCGGTGGTGGAAGTCAAATATAATGACTTTAAATAGGATTAACCCACTCTAACTAATACCAAGGCCTTTTGTGATAAAACCTCACATCTGACGGATTGGATAGGTGGTAATTACCAAGTTGGGGAGTATCGGTGTCGTTAGAGCGGGGCACCTCGGGCACGTCAATCTAAATTCCAACATGGTATCAGAGGGCCTTGATTACGAGCCCGTGCAAGCCAAAGTGCTTGTCACCAGGAAGTGTGGGCTTGGAAACAAACCTGGACTCTTAATATAGAGCTGGCATCCGCCTGGAAGGAGTGAAAATAAGTTTGGACTCCATTGGAGCCAACCTCTGAGTTTCAATTGCCGATGTGTGGATCTCCACATGTGAACCACTAAATGAAGTCCCGCGCAAGGGGGCATGATAGCTATCCCACATCAGTGGGGGAAGTCAAATATAATGACTTTAAATAGGATTACCCCACTCTATTTAATACCGAGGTTTTTGTGATAAGATCTCACACCTGACGGATGGGGCAAGTGGTAATTACCAAGTTGAGGACAATATCGTTGTCGTTAGAGTGGGGCCCCCGGGTCCATCGATCTAAAATTCCAACAAAAAGGTCCAAATGCAAAGGTTGCTAGCATTTATCGTACATGGAAATGGTATGGTATGTTGCTCGTTGATGAGACTTAAACCCTATTTCCATGGACCATATGATGTAGCCATGATATATGGACCAATTTTTCTTTTATTACAGTGATCGTGTCTTGGTGTTGTTAGCTGTTTTGTTTTCTGACTAAACATCCTGCTGTTTTGATTAGGTATATGAGAAAGAATCACCTGGTAGATGTTACTGAGATATTCAATATGCTCCACAAAGAAAAGAAGATCCGGCTTTTCAAACTCTTTTATCTTGTCGTCCTCCTGTTTCTCTCGATATTCTGGTACGGTTTCTCAGACATTTGCACTTATTCTTTGAGTTCTTTTTCTTTCTGTTAATTACCGCTTTGTTACATCTCTGGCTCATACATTTGTTGTAGGATGATTCTAACTGCATTGGAAGACCATGAATAATTGGGGGACAATGGCTGCCTCAGCGGAAATATTCAGATTCGGAAACAATTGCCCTGTCTGCACGGTTGATACTAATTGCTGCTCCTTGTCATGATTTATTGCCACTAAATTACAAATGATGTAATTTGTGGGAGATTGGATCGTAAATTAATTTGGTACAGTACTCTGACATTTTCGTATAACACTTCTGTAAGTTTGAGGGATTTAGGGTTGTGTTTTATAGATTTGCAGGTTCAAGCAATCTAAAACTCTTAGGGTGGTATTTTGATGTTTGCAAAGAAGAGGTGGTGTATGTACGGTGATGAACAACCCGTACTCCCACGCGTTGCAAGGTGATGCATCGATACATTTCAGTCCAATTTAGCTTCTATTTACTTGTATTTCATCCATGATCAATTTTCCAAGTTTACATCAAGCCATAAGTAGTCCAAAAAAAAAAAAGTAGTGTTATTTGGTGTCTGCTTTGCTTTTATGTTTTAGGTCGTGTGGTTCAGGATTCACTGGAGTATAGTTGAATTCTGTGTTCCTCATAGTCCTTCTCTGTCACTACTGTAAAGTTTTTTCCTGTCCTTTCGCCGAAATTGAGTGTTTGACGTTCGGTTTGTTGTGTGTCTTTACGCGTTAATGTTGATTAGTGTCTTAGGCCTCCATGATATTGTTTGTTCAAAAGAAAAAAAAAAAAAAAAAAAAAAAGACACCAAAAACAAAAACAAACAAAATTGATGACCTAGGCGACATTTTAGCTCCACTCGGACGCCAATTTCACTTCTTTCCTTCAATTACAAGGTTCGATTTGTTGTTTATGTGACTGATTAATGTTGATTAGGGTGTAATTCATTGATCAAAAAGGTTCGATTCGCGTTCTAATTCAACTGATGACAGTTCCTATTAATTAGGGGTGGGCATCAAACCGACTCAACTGACCAAATTAGTTTATCCAAACTATTTTTGTTGGTTCGGTTCGGTTTTCAGCAAGAAGAAAAGTTAGATAATTTAAAAGTTGAACCAAACCGATCTATTTTGGTTTGGTTACTTTGAAACCAATCAAAATGAAATTGAATTGACTATAGATTTTTTTATTAATAATTATATTGTTGCAGTCATATTTGGAATATGACTGTAATTGTGTAAATCCTAAAGTATCTAGGGATATCTTTTATATTCCTTTTAGTAATCTTTAGATAAGGATTTTACCTATCATACTATTATAAATAACGGTACAATGGGGTGATACAACACACACCACACAATCAAATCTCTCTCTTCTCTCTCTCACTATCGCTCGCCTCCCTCTCTCTATTCCCCTAGAATAGCTCAATTTAAATAGGCTTGCAACATATTATTAACACGCTCTTGCCAGAAGCTAAGGAACTGAAGGATCGTAGGAGGAGGCTCTCTTCTACCAAATTCAAAAGCTTTTCTTTGTTTTCTGCCAATCAGGTACGCTTAAAATAAAAGAAGATATTTGAAACGTCCATGAAGCATGAAAACATTCCTCATGATGCATGAACCCCTCTATGTTTATATTTTCCTTCCGATATATATATATTGTATATGTTTCATATATCTGTCAATATATGTATATATATATATATATATGTTTTATACATTACACAATTATATTACTATGGGGAATTTGTGAGTCAAAGTATATAAATAAATTAAAAGCAATTTGGGTTTTTCAAACCCTAGAAAATTCGAAAAACAAAAAAAAAAACTGGGATATTTTTTTGCAGCACCGTGACACCATGCTGGACCACCACGCTGGCTTGGAGCCTAGCCAAGTGGGGAAACGATGTCGTATTGACACCTGGACAAGGCACACAGCCCTTTGGGCTCACTGCCCTATTGGAAACCAACCAGGCTTTAGCCTGGGTTGCATAACCTACAGGGCTGAAGCCCCGGTCCAACCCGAGTCCATAACCCATAAGCCTTTGGCTTGTTAGGCTTGTTAGGCTTGTTAGGCTTGTTACCATCCCGACCCCTATGTACCTCAGCCAGCCTTGTAGGCTGGGCTTGTCCCATGGTCCAAAGACCTAGCCCCAACTTTGGTTGGGCCTTGCGTGTGCTAACCCATAAGCTAACTTCAGCTGGGCTTGCTCCCACTCACCCTTTGGCCCAAAAACGCCAGCAACTTGTTGCTAGGCCACCCAGTCCCTCGGCCTGTGGCCTGCAGCCACATGTGGGCTGCAGAGCAACCAAACTCGAGGCCCAAAAGCCTCTAGGGCTTTGCTTTACTCACGACACCCAAGCCTAAATGCTATTAGGCTATGGTTTTTGAAATCCAATGCTAATTTTTGGCATTTTAAATAATTTTGACTTGAATGTTATTATTATTTTTGCTTCCACGATCGACCCCGTTTGGTCCCAATCTATTGAATTAATCAAAAAATGACCTACAGTCCATTAATCTGATAATTAATCCAAAATTATTGACCTGAAGACAACTTTTGGACATTATCGATTCAATAATTTATTTGTATACTTTGAACCGTTGACATCTTTTCGTAGTCCCAAAGCTCTCACCCTTGAGTTCTTGAAGAAACTCAAATCCACTACACTTCATTTAGCATATTGCATTATGTGTTTCTTCCAGGAACCTCTCCATTATGAACTAATCAGTCATAAAACTAAATTGAACCTGTAGTTTCATATTTAGTGCCTTTGAAACCTGAAGTTTGCATTCAAAATTTACTACACGAAACCTGTAGCTTTCATGCATAAATTAAACCAATACGTGTCCATAGAACCTGAATATTCTACTATGTCTTTGGATTACTATATGACTAACCACGTTTTGTTGTACCCTCCATTTTAGGGATATGTCGAACTTGAACAAGCTCAATTTCGCCACTCTGGAAGTATTTGGAAGAAACTACCTGAAGTGGATTCAAGACGTGAAGCTCCATCTTACTGCAAAGGGTATTAGAGCAGCCATTGAGGCACCTACTGATGACAAACCTGTCGATGAAGCTCAGAAAGCTACTGCAATGATCTTCATTTGAAGACACATCCTTGATGCTTTACAAACCAAGTGCCTCGCTAAGGAGGACCCACACACCCTCTGGCTTTCCCTGGCTGACCGTTTCGATCACTAAAATGGCATCCACTTGCTTGAAGTAAGACACGAGTGGCAGCATCTTTGCTTCCAAGACTTTAAGTCAGTGAATAAATACAACTCTGAAGTTTGTAGAATCCGATCACTTTTGAAGTTCTATAAAGTGGAACTAATCGAATCAGATCTCCTTGAGAAGACCTATTCAACCTTCCATGCCACCAATATTGTCTTGCAGCAACAATATAGGGCACATAAATTGATCAAATTTTCGGATTTGACCTCTGTTTTACTTCTCGCTGAAAACAGAACCAGCTTTTGATGAAGAATCATCAAGCTCGACCCACTGGCTCGAACGTCGCACCTGAAGTGCATGTAACCAATTTTAGGAGCCATAAATGACGCAAGAATTGTCGTGGCCGTGGAAATGGGTGGCAAGCCCAACCACGGGCCTAAGGTCAACAAAATCAAGGGCCACCCAAGGGAGGAAATTTGACCTCGAAGTGCCAACCCCTTGCACCTAAGGTCCCAAACTTCAAGAACAAGCGAAAAACTACCGTTCAATCAGCTTCCACTAAAAAGGATCATTGGTCACGCGTATGCCGAGCTACCCCCAAGGCTATTGCCAAGTATCATTCCTGTCGTGAGTCTAACTTTGCGCATGTGGATCATCCCGAAGATGTTACTACATCCATGGAGATATCAGATTTTCAGGAGGCATCAACTTCTATAGACGAATAAAGTTTAGACATGTTTTTAGGGTGTTTTACCTCTAATGGCCGAACCCCCTAATAGGTGCATTATTTATCATGTTTTCATATCATTTAACCCTATGTTTTGTTAAGGAATTAGTCTTAAAAGAGCCTTATTACTTTCCTTTTCTCTGTTTCAGCCAATCTGCGCACTTAGAACGTTTTTGGCGATAATTCAACTTTCCGGAGAAGTTTTGATGCAAGGCCAATTAGAGAATGGAGCTAAGAGGCAGAAGATCTTTGTGTCCAAATTTCGTAATTTTTCATGGAGCCAAACGTTCCAGGTTTACTGATCAATCTCGCAGAAGTAACTTTTCCGTCAGATCTGTGCAGCTGGAGGAGAATGAAGATTTGGAAGCTTTCCCGATTTTTCCTAGAGGTGTGCGATATATTCTTAGAAAGATAAGAGATAAAGCTACATTTTTCATATTTTTACAGAATTTTCAGAAGATAAATCGACCCCAAATCTGGCGTGCAAGACAGATGTCGTATTTCCCAAGTCAAGAAGGACTCTTTCCTAGTTTGTGTCATTAATTATTTAGGAGTTTGTTATCTTTTGGGATAGCTTTTATCAGAATTTTTAGGATTTTATTAGAATAAATAGAGTGCCATAGGCTATCTTAAAGGGGGGGAACGAACTACACAAGAAATTCATCAAAAGTGAAAGAGGACAACTTAGCGTGCTTTTACCATTCTTTTCCGGGTTTTATCTTCCATGACTTCTTTTGTGATTTTTATTATGATTATGTGTAACTAAAATACTTTTCTAAGGTTTATGATGAAGCCATGACATGATTATTTCCGAAGTATCTTGTTGATTATTATTTGATTACATGCCATGTTTAGTTCTTAATCTTTGTGCTTAATCTATTCTAGTTTCGAATGTTCTTGTGACTGGCCATCATTGTGGACTTGTTTCTAGATATTTAGATAAATATGAGAGGATAACCAATATCAATTAGGTTTATTGGAACTAAGATTAAGAAGAGTGGACAAACTAGTGAGGATGACCAATATCAAACTAGTCCTACTTGGTTGACATTATTCTTCAGTGCTTAATGGGTTTTTATGTGTTTAACTGTATGCCTAACCAATAGGATATAGTTATCACGTATAGACACATGAGTTCATGCCTGACCAAGGATTAATTCATATCTTAGAAAGAACAACATTAAATGTTGGCATGGTAATTGGATAGTAATCAACTTGAAGAAAAGGGGATATGATTGATATTGGTGGATTCATGACCTTAGGTTTTCATCACATTAATTTCTTTCAAATTTTCATTCTTTGCGTGTTTTCGTTATTCATATTCCTTGTTTATGTGACAGCCCGTTCCGGAATTTTTAAAACATACGTGTGAAATGACGATTTTGCCCCTAGTGTGATTTTTTTACGTTGTGTGGTTGTTTTGAGCTTGGTGTGGCTGGTTGTAGACCACACACATTTCCCTCATCATTTCCCTACCCTGCACCCTGTCCCATGCCATTTCCCTTCCCTATTTCCTATCCCATTGTACGGACATACCCCAAAACCCTTGTAATCTTCACAGATCGAAGAAACAAAGTACATATTCTT